TCTTGTTTAGTCTGAAATCTCCGGATTATTTTATTTTTGAAGGACTAAATAATCCGGCCTAATCCCTTCAAACTTTGAACCAAAAATGTTATTATTTTAATTTCAAGGATAAAGGGTTATCACCTCAAAATAATACCCAATCCGAACATAGCCTACGTACTTAAAGCAAATAGAAACAGAGACCTATAAAAGAAATTCATGCACTTAACATCTGCAAAACCAGTTGCAATAATATTATGGTAACAAAAAAGGAAAAGAGAACGCCAAAAAAAACTAGCTGAAATAAATCAAGCCTCTCTTAGTGTTGAAAAGAACCATCAACATCCAGATCAAAGGTAATCTTTATAAACCATAATACTTCAAATTTTGTTCCATATCCTTGTTCACTATTCTTCTTTTAAGTGTTAATAGCATAGACATCGAGATGATAAGCAATCCACATCAGTCCTTCAGGCTACCACAATTTGCAAGCTCATATGCTGATTTGTTATAGTAACACCACTTTTCAAAGGCAATAATTTCTACTTAGAATTAATACGACACCAATACCTCACCGAAGCTACACATTCTAAAGCAAATTACTTAATACTGATGCAATGCAAGATTACACATATAATCTTTTCCAGTTTCCCAATTAATCAAGACATACAGCAGGCAAAAGAAGAAGAAGAAGAAGAAGAGCAGCTTAACTATCAACTATAAAAACCTACCTCGGATCAGAACCATCAACTGCACTGACCCAATCATCATGCAAGCAAGGATCTTTCTGTTCTCGTGGGGCTACCACCTTGATGTATTCAATTTCAAGTACTCTCTCCTGTAATTTCACAAAACAACCACAAAATTAGCATCATCAACAAAGAAAAAATGAACAGATCAACCGTCAGTTCCTTCACACATACCGCCGAAATGCCCTTTGCTAACAGAAACTGCTCGAGCGACATCCGAACAAGCTCCCCATCAACCAGAAAATCAAACGGCTGAGGCTCGAACTCAGAACTCACTAATCACATCAAAATTTGTTGCTAAAAGTAGTCAGTGCACAACAATTTACCCATTAAAATTTGCACATTGTACATCAAATTTGCATAGAAAATCAGCTGTCCTTGCTTTATTTTGCATCAAACCAACGAATTTAAACTAAATAATGGGCTTTGGGAACTTCTTTCAAAATAAATGAGACTGGGGATCAAATCCAAAATAAAAAAGCAAGGGTTTTAGGGGTTTTTTTACCGCTTTTGAGCAGAGAATTGACGATTTCAGAAAGACCCATCCGATTGAGGTAAGAAGGGACGGCGATGGAGCTCGCCGGGGCTTTTAATGGAGGTTCCAGCTTCGTAACGAAGCGGACCTGGATTTGCCTCGATGAATCGGATCCATTTGTGTCCATTTCTGAACTGGAAAAGATGAAGAGGGGTAGATTTTTGGCGTCGCAGTCTCTAAAACCTAAACCCTAATAACGAAAGAGGGAAGAGATGAGCAGGGGTTTACGATATTTCTTTTCCGTATAAAACTCTAAACATTTTGGGCCAAATTGGTATATTTATACCGTATAAATATACCAATTTGCTGACAATGATTAATAAATATATGCTGACAATGATTAATAAATATAGGTTTCAGTAGGATATTTTTGAAAGCAAAAAAGTTAATTATAACAGACATGATAAGCACTTTGCGAGTGCAATACTTTTTATGTATCTCATGTAACAGTTCTGAGTTAATTATAACAGACACTGATGCTTACTAAGCTTACCACTAGTAAACCAAATTCATGAAGAATGCTCTGCTTCACAGTGTCATTTACAATTTATTAAACTAACCAAATTTGTTGATGGTCAAACCGAATAGTACATCTAATCACTACAAAATTAGACTTTTTTTGTAAGAAATTATTCAGATAATACCGTATCCCCAGCTTTGGTCGCAATAAGAGACATTTCCATAACCACCTAAAACTTAAGAAAGGTAAGTGAGCAAACAGAAATCAAGCATATACAGAAATCAAGCATATACAAACTAGCCATGATTAAATAGATAGAAAATCCCAAAATTGAAAGAAGACAGTATGAAAAAAACCCCAAAATTGATAGAACGCAAGATCAAAAAGCCCTAGCTAAGAGTGTACCCTCCGCCGCTCGCCGCCGCTCGCCGCTCGAGCTTCGTGATGCGATCTAGGGCTTTTCTTTCTCTCTGCGGCTTTTTTTTTCGTTCTCTAGAGCGGCGCGTTTATGAGGGAGTGAGGGAACGAAGGGTTGTTAGACGGGTCGGGATTTTTGTTATACGGGTCTTATACGGGTCAATAGGTTAACCCGAATTTACTCATTTAATAAATGGGTAAATTTGGGTTGACCCATTTATGACCCGACCCATATAAATTGATCCATACCCATTATAAACGGGTCGGGTCGGGTCGGGTCGGGTTAATGGGTCGGGTCATAAATTGTCACCCCTATTTATACGAACGCATTTACCAGATTTGTATTTAAAAAAACTCCGGCAACAACAAGACATTAAAGATGAACCTTTTTGTCAACAAGGCATATTTTGTTCATAAACGAGGATGTAATGTCTATTGAATATCTCAGAGAAAAAATTGTAGAATTTACGAATCTGTTCACATTGTGGTATTGTATTATAGGCATGGGTTTGAGCCAAGGTATGTTGCTTCTTACTTTGGAAGACAATTTGAAACTTATGTTACAATATGCTCGTAAGGAAATGGCAGTTGAGATATTTTCAAATCAAGGGGTTGGCATGGCTGAGTTGGTTGACATGGCTGAGGGTCTGGCAGATGAGGATGATGTGGAAACAACCAATGCACAAGATGAAATAGATCCAATGCAAGAGAATCAACCAATGCAAGAGAATAAAGAAGTGCAAGAGATACCCAAAAAGAGGAAGAAGCTGGCACCAATTAGGAAAAAAAGTACGGATGAAGGCCAAGTGGAGGATGAAATTCAATCCAGTAATGATGATGACTAGTGGAAGATGAGACATGTAAGTTGGACCCTACAGAGGCATTTGATAATGAGACAGATGAGGATGATGAGAAAGTGTATGTTGATGAGTTCACTGACAAAGTAGAGAGTGGGAAAGTTAAACAAAAGGGTTTGAATGAGGAGAGTAGCAGTGCAGCTGGATATGCAAGTGAAGATTCAATGTGTGCTTTTGATAGTGAGGCTGAGGGGCTTTGGACAGTGATGTTGAGGAGTTGCATGAAATTAGAAGGATGAATAAAGATAAGGTAAGTGCTGCAATTGGTAGAATAGCATTCAATACTGGTGCTAGATTGGTAAATGACGATGAGGGACCTCCTGCTAGAGTGGGGGTGTTTCAGCCACTTAACATAGAGGAAGTTCAAGGTAATGCAGTGCACAATGATAGAGCTGCTGACATGAATGCACAAGGGGGTAACACAGAGGAAGTTCAAGGTAATGCAACTTCAAACACAAGGGGCATTGTAGGCAAGAGAGATAAATGGCCATCTTTCTGGTTGAATTATGAGGGAGGGTATGAGTCAGAGCAAAGAGATAGTGAGGATGAAGGCCCGTTAGATGACAGTGAAATAGAAGAATTCAATAACAAACTCCAGTCCCATCTCAGGTTAAGAAAATTCAGGATGAGGAAGAAGATTAAGTATACATTCTTCAATGAGGACGTGGATATGATTTCAGTGTACTTTGCACCTGGATTGAAGTTTACATCAAGGAATGTATTGAAACAAGCTATTATCAACTACTCTATTCAAAATCATTATGACTTGCTTTATATGAAAAATGATAAAAAAGAGAATAAATGTTGGTTGTTCATTATGCTACTGGGAAATATATGGTGGGCCTGACTGTAAAGATGAACAAGCTTCGCAAATTAAAAGCATTCAACCATTGCACACTTGTAGTAGAACCTTTAAGAATAGGTTAATTACAGAAAATTGGGTGGCACATGAGTTCCTAGATAAAATTTTAAGAAATCCCAATGTGAAACCAAGGGAAATATGTGAAGAAATAACTGCAAATTATAAGATCAACGTCACTCTTAGAAAATGTCAGAGGGCAAAGGATAAGGCATTGAATACTATAGAGGGACTGATTGCAAGACAATATGGGTTGCTTAAACCCTATGTGAATGAAATCTGTAGATCAAATGAGGGGAGTACATGTGTGCTTAAAGTGGTGGGTGGAGGATGAGGCTCATGCATATTTCAAAGAATCTATGTGTCCTTTTCTGCTTTGAGGGAGGGATTTGTCAAGTGTTGTAGACCTATTTTTAGCCTTGATGGATGCTTTCTAAAGCATGCTTGTGGTGGTCAATTACTGTGTGCTGTTGGTAGAGATGGTAACAACCAAATGTGGCTAATAGCATGGGCCGTGGTTGAGGGAGAGAACAGGTCATCATAGGAGTGTTTTATATTTTTGGTGCACTGTCAGACAACACAAGTAGCAAATGAAGGTACAAGCCAAACCAAAAAGAGAGGGAGGCCAAATTGGAGCAAGAACATGATTGGTCAATCAGTGGAGGAAATGAGAAGACAAAACATCCCTACACCAACATCAGTGTTATTAGAGAGAAGATGTAGAGGTGGAAACAATAGTACACAAGGGGTTTCAAGTGCAACCCAGCCACAAGTTTCAACTTTAGGGAGGGGAGGAAGCAGAGGCAAAGGCAGAGGAAGGACTATTCACAACAAAATGCCTGAAGGGTTTGGACTATGGCAAGGTGAACATGGTGAGGCAATATACAGAGCAACCAGTCACACAGAGGCTACAGTTATCCAAGGACCATCATTTCAAGCATCAGTCAATGACCACCCAAAGTGTTAATTAAGTGGTTGTGTTGTGTATATTTTGTCTAGTTTATGTATGCTACATGATGTGTTAAGCACAAACAGTTTTTGGGTTTTACACAGGTGGCTCATTGTGTCTATTTTTAAGTTTCCGGGTTTGGAAGTGATGTTGTTGTAGTGAGTTATTGTGAGATTGCATGTGTTTGATGTTGTTAGTGTGGGTTTGCACATGTTTGATGTTGTTACAATCTTAAATTTACAACAAAATGAAAACAAAGATTTACAACATTTTATTTGAAAGCTACATCACAAACAAAGCATCTGCCATAGGTTAAAAACAAAATACAACATTTTATTTGAAAGAGTACATAATACATCATTACATTGTCATAAACGAGAGCATCTCATTACAATTGCCCACTAAAATTTACAACAAAGAACCCTAAGCAGATTACAACAACTCCACAGACCATAATTACCATCTCATATAATTTGAGCTTATTCTGGTGAAGTTTGATTAGATCCTCGCATCTTGTTCTACCAATCTTCAGGTTTGAAATCTCCAATAAATAAGCGTCAGCCTCTCTTTGACACATACGTAGCTCTTCTTTAGTCTTGCCAATATCATCACAACATTCTTTCATCTTATTCTCAGCATGTGCGATCAATTAATCCTTCAGTATATCATTGTTCCTCAAGTTCAATAGCTCTTCTCTCAATAGAGTACCAATTGAGATGCCACATTACACAATTGACCATCAAACCATTCCCAAACATAACAACCACCACCATTCTAGAACCACATTTTAAAAAAACATAAAACAGTCTCAACAAATCAAACAAACGATAAATTTGCATTGAAAATTTTACCTTATAGTTTCGGCATCTGTAAAACCTCCTCCCGGAGTTTGCATCTGCCATCGATGTATAATAGTCATATTCAGCTCCATAAGAATACTTTTTGACCCCGTACCTCTTTGCTACTTCATTCCATTTTCGAATACAACTCATATTGTTGAATTCACCCCCAATTTGGTAGTTTACTCCAGATCTAGATAGGCTTGAACCTCCAGATATGTTCCTGCTTGAACCTGACCTTCAGCTTGACGAGGCCATGTTGGGACTGCCACTAATTTGAAGATCTGAGTGAAATGTGAGAAGGGATGATCTGAAACCCTAACTTCAAGTTCATCCCCAAATTTGATCGCGAGTGGGGAATGAGGAAGATGAGAATTTCAACGGCCTTATTTATCCACGTCATTGCTAAACTGCCAAATCATCATCCACGTTACCCTTTTAAATGCCACGTGAGCGACGAGATTTTGAGTTTTGAACTCCGACGAGCAGAATGTGCCTTGTTGACAAAAAGGTTCATCTTTAATGTCTTGTTGTCGTCGGAGTTTTTTTAAATACCAACCTGGTAAATGCGTTCGTATAAATATACCAATTTGGTATTTTAGCCCAACATTTTGTTACTGCAAAATGGCTTAGTTTTCTGGGGGCTAAAATATTAATTTAGCCAATAAAGTAACACGCTATGATCAATAAAATATAAAAAGTAACTCGGGCGATAATAAGACTTATAAAGTGACTCGTTCAACTATTTAAGCCTACTCTAGCGATTGTACTTTAGAATCAAAAAAGAATTTAATACATGATATCGCATGGTCATGCAGCGTGCGAACACTTTCCTTGCTGATGTGGCGGAGTTTGCTGACATAGAGAGTTAGCTGGGTTT